ACTGGGCTAGTGATGAGGCACTGTGGTGACCTCAAGGCCAGGTCCAAGGAGAGTTCTGAACTCCTGGACAGCGCTTTGATCCCCTGCTGCCAAAGCGCGCAGGGACTCACACAGCCAAAGAGGACTTTGGCAAATGCAGTTTTGTGTATATGATTATCTTTAAGGAAAGCGGGCAAATGAGAGATCGTTTGTGTATATAGCAAGATTCTGGAGTGTGCACTGTGGGAGTGGGAGAGAAGTATCTGCTAATTTGTGTATGGTTCTGTATGTTTTGTGTAATTTTGTATATTCTGTAAAGTTCAGAATAATGACATTTCATAAGCAATGAATTCACCTGTGGCTCAGATCTGAGTTTTAAACATCATTTCCTGCTAAAACGAAATGAGAGAAATGTCTGTCTCCAGGGCTGAGATAGGGAACGCCCCAAGTTTGGACCATTTTGTGCTATAAAATAAAAGTCAATCTTCAGAAACTGATAGGGAGTGGGGTAGTTCAGATCCGCTGCGCAAAATGGGGACTGTGATTAGTAACTGCGGAGTGCATACTTTAAAACCAGAATAGATGTTAAGAGTTCTAACCATTAAAAAAAAAAAAGTCAGGTAATTTATGTGTCATTCTAGAATGCACACATTTATCAAAACGTGCTTCTACCACAAATATACACAATTTTTGCTTGTAAATTAAAATAAGTAAATACATACATTTAAAAAAAAAAGCAAAGACACATGGGTACAGTTTGTAGTGACTTCTATGTGGCAATATGGAAATCCAAAACTGCAGTGATGCAGCTGCGGTGGGGGTCAGGGGTAGAGTGCTTACCTAACTTAAAAAATATCATACATCTTCAACTGCAGCGACACTTTCTCTGGGGCAGTGCATCAGTTCCCCAGCACAGCAGGGGAAGGATTAGGATGGCAAGAATGCAGTATACATACATACAAGAAACAATATACAGAGTGAATGAGCTATATTTAGGAATATATCTGTATACACATATACATGTACACATGTAATAACAGTTCATTTTAAAAGGCCATTAATTTGAAAGAGAGTGAGGAGTTGTGATATGCAAGAGGACTTGGGGGAGGGGAGGAAGGGAGAAATGATGTAATGTTATTATAATCTCAAAATTTAAAAAATAATGTAACATTAGGTACTAATTAAAATTCAAATGAATAAGTCCATGCCAGCACTTTGTTTTCTTTTTCTGTTTTTTTTTTTAAAGGGGAGCCTTTAAAAAATAATCAAATGGAACCTATCTAAAAGACAATGGGGAGGGTAGAATGAAAAAACGCTGTTAGCTTTACATCATGGGACTAATTGGCATAGACAAAAGGAGTAATAGATGCTAAACTCACCAGGAAAAGTCTATTGGAAAGCAAGATGTTTGCACAGTCTTCATTAGCAATCTTACGGGGCTCTTTCCCAGCTCATTAGCATACTTCCATTCTTGGGAGTGCTTTTTCTTTTCTTAAAAAAGCTGTCTCTATTTGTACTCCATGCCCAACTTAAAAGGCATGAGTCTTTCTCCATCTCCTCCTTACAGCTGCCAGGATTTTCATCTTATCTGTGCCAGTTTGCATTAACATCTAATAAAGTTGTCCTTGAGCTTCCTTTAGGAAAACAAAGGGGGGAGGGAGAGGAGAGGAGTACCTCTCCAGGGATAATCTGCAAGAGGCTCTGGGTTGACGCCCAGCATCAAACAAACAAAAACAACCCGGTGGTGGTGGCAGTTGGGAGGCAGAGGCTGAGGATCTCTGAGTTCAAGGACAGCCAGGGCTACACAGAGAACCTCTGTCTTAAAAAACAGCAACAACAAAAATACAGAGCCCCCTATTTCATCATAAGCATTCCAGACTAATGCTACTCTATCTTGATTGTTTCCCTTGGCAATAGGGTAAAAATCCTTTTTAATTAAACTTTAAAATGTATTCAGAACCTCTTGGCATCTGGTCAGATCCTTTCTACTCAGATCCAAATTCCATAACCTCTCACCCAGATCACTGCAGGAACTTCCCTAGGGCCCTGCACAGCAGCCTGGGTGGATCTACTGAAACGGATTAGCTGGGGATGTTGGGACACACCTGTAACCCCAGCACATGGGCAGATAGCAAAAATGAGGCCAGCCTAGGTTAAATAGAGGGTCTCTGGCTCCCAAACACAAACCACAAACAAACCCAGGGCAAATCCTATAAACATAGTTGAGCAAATGTCTTTGTGGTGTGAATATGCTTCCTTTGGGTATATGCCCAAAAGTGGTATTTCAGGGTCCTGAGGTAGGCTTATTCATAATTTTCTGAGAAATTGCCATACTGATTTTCACAGTGGCTGTACAAGTTTGCATTCCCACCAGCAATGGAAGAGTGTTCCCCTTTCTCCACATCCTCTCCAGCATGCGCTGTCATTGGTGTTTTGATCTTAGCCATTGTGATCGGTGTAAGGTAGAATCTCAGAGTTGTTTTGATTTTCATTTCCCTGATAACTGAGGGTATTAAGCATTTCCTTAAGTGTCTTCCATCATTTGAGACTGTTTTGTTTGGAATTCTCTGTTTAGATCTGTACCCCATTTTTAATTGGATTATTTGTTAGTTTGATGTCTAGTTTCTTGAGTTCTTTGTATATTTTGGATATCAGCCCTCTGTCAGATGTGGGGTTGGTAAAGATCTTTTCCCATTCTGTAGGGAGCTATTTTGTCTTGTTGACTGTATTCTTTGCTTTACAGAAGCCTCTCAGTTTCAGGAGGTCCCATTTATTAATTGTTGTCAGAGCTCTCTCTTTAACTGTAGTTAAAGCCAGCCAGTCATGTTGCAACACAATTTGCCTGTCTTGTTTGTGATGTATGACTTGGTCTCATTTCCATTGTTGTTATGTTACAAGGTCCTACTGTCCAGTATTGGTCCCAATGACTTCAAACAAAGCTTGAGCCCTGGTCAGCCTAGGCAGCACACTGACACTCCATCTTTTAATAGAAAAAAAACTGAAGTATGATTGTAGAAAGACACAAAACTATATTTCCTAGTAATGAGATACATACAAATGGAGTTTCACAAAACTCAATTAGTTATTAGAGAATGCCAAGAAACTTTGGGTGTGGTTTTTACCAACAACCACGGTTGTACAGATGAAGAATGTAAAATCCACAGACAAGTGACCTTGCCCAAAGTTAATCGATTCTTAAAAAACCAAGCTTTCTGTACCACATTTTGATAGGCAAATGAGTTGTAAATAGGTGTCCAGTCTTGGTTCACTGGGCACTCGGTTCTACTCTGTGAGTGTGTGTGTGTGTGTGTGTGTGTGTGTGTGTGTGTGTGTGTTTAACAGGGCCAGTTCATGACTTGGGCTTGGAACTCAATGTGTAGCTAAGTATGACCTTGAAATTCTGGTCCTCCTCCCAAGAGAAAGGATTATAAGGCATGGGCTAACATGTCTGGTTCATCTTCTGGGAAAGGAATCACAGGCTTTGTGCATGTCAGGCAAGCACTCTACCAACTGAGCCACATCCCCAGCTTAATATGCAGCCTAGAGGGAAGGCTGTGCCTGCCAACCTCCGGAAGACATAAACAGGGTTTCTGCTGGTTCTTGACTTCACTATGGACTTTGAATTCTCCAAACAGTGGTTCTCAGAGGAGGAAAGGGTCATGTGACGGTAACAAGAGCCATCTGTTACTCAATCATCCTCCTTTCAGGAGTTCTATGTGTTTGCAGATTACTCTCAGATCACAGCCTAATCCTACCTAGCCAGAGAAGCCACAAAAAGGCATAGAGGAAAAATGGGATGGACAGGGAATCCCAGACAGAGGAAGGAACAGATAAGACACTGGAATAAGGTGAGGGGTGGGCTTGCCTACACGCTCCACCTCCTCAGCATCTTCCTCAGGGCACTGGTTACCTCCCTGTTCCTCAGGCTGTAAATGAGGAGATTGAACACTGGAGTGAGGATAGTGTAGAAGATGGAGGTGGCTCTATCTCCCGTTGGTGCCCTAGCGGAGGCCCGCTGCATGTAGCTAAATATGGCTCCCCCGTAGTAGAGTCCCACCACAGCCAGGTGGGAAGAGCAAGTGGTGAGAGCCTTCTGTTTCCCCTCAGTGGAGGGCATTCTAATCACAGCTGTGAGGACCCGAGCATAGGAAGCAACAATGACCCCAAGAGGCAGCAGCAGCATCACCACACAGCATGCATAGATGAGGTCCTCAAATAGTGAGGTGTCTGCACAGGAGAGGCGCAACAGGGCCGGGACCTCACAGAAGAAGTGGTCCACCTCTAGAGATCCACAGTAGGGGAAGCTGAAGACCATCCCCACATCAATCACACTGTCTGCCATCCCACCCATCCAGGATGCCATGGCCAGAAAAGAGCAAGCCTTCCAGTTCATGAGCACTGGGTACCTCAGCGGGTAGCAGACTGCCATGTACCTGTCATAGGCCATGACAGCCAAGAGGAAGCACTCAGCTCCTCCTACCATGACCACGAGGAAGATCTGAGATGCACAGCCTGCCAGGGAGATGAACTTCCTGCCTGAGAGAAAGTTGGCTGCCATCTTGGGCACCACTGTGCATGTCATTGTCAAGTCCATGATGGAGAGCTGGCTGAGGAAGAAGTACATAGGTGTGTGCAAGCGTCTGTCAGCCTGGATGAGCGTCAGGAGGAGGATGTTGCCAAAAACAGCAGCCCCAAAGGCCAGAAGAACCAGAGAGAAGAAGAAAGAGTCATAAGGTGAGTGGCTGAACAGGCCTGAAAGGGTAAAGCTGAGTAGGGAGGAATGATTCCAGAACTCCTCTGCCATGACCCTGAGAAACAAACAAAACACTGTTTATTGGCATGTCAGTAACATAAAACAAAGCAAACGTTTTCCTCCTAAAGGCAAAGTCAGCCTTTTAGCACTGCCCCACCCTTTCCTCCTGCAGGAAAAAAAAAAATTATCTCAGCTGCTTTCAAGTGTACCAGGCATGAGTTGACCCCTACTTCTCTTGAGAGAGGAGGGAGGGGGATCGGAGGGCACATGGAACGGTGAGCGGTAGCTAAATGGCAGGTGGGGAGGGACAGCTTTAGGAAAGAGGGCTGCAGATTTAAAAGACGGGAAAGTGAAGTATTGATAACCCAAGAGACAGAAGGAGAAAGAAGTTTGGATGGGAGGGGTTAAGGTAATACAATTAAAAGCCAAAAGGCTGACTTCTCCCTGTTAAGAACAAGGGAGGAGGGCTGACAGGTGGCTCAGCAGGTGAAGGTGCTTGCTATGTGAGAAGAATGGCCTGAGTGAGCCCCAGAAGCCATGCAAATGTCAAAGGAGAGAACTGACCCCACAGAGTTGTCCCCTGACCTCTATACCCATGCCATGTCACAGGCACCCCGCATACACATTATACACAAACATGTTCATTAATTTAAAAGGGGAGACTCCTCTCAGCTCATCTTGGAGCACCTACCTTAGAAAGCTAAATAGGTTCCTTCTTTGTGAGATGTATGTCTTTTAACAACTTTGTTGCTGCCAGGTGTGATGGTGCACGCCTTTAATCTCAGCACTCAGTAGGCAGAGGTAGGCAGATCTCTGTGAGTTCGAAGCCAGAATGCTCTACATAGTGAATTCCAGGCCAGCCAGAGCTACATAGTGAGACCCTGTTTCAAAAAGGAAGAAAGGAAGGAAGGAAGGAAGGAAGGAAGGAAGGAAGGAAGGAAGGAAGAAAGGAAGAAAGGAAGAAAGGAAGAAAGGAAGAAAGGAAGAAAGAAAAATTGGGGCTTGGGGTTGTAGCTCAGTGGTTAAGTCCTTGCCCGGTATGTTTGAGGCCTTGAATTGAGTGTGTTCCTTGGGAAGGAGGGGCAGGAGAGGAGGAGGGAGGGAAGGAAGGAAAGGAAGAAAAGGAGGAAGAAGGAGGAGACTGCTCTTATCTCTGTCTCTGGGGCAGAGTGGGAATCTGACTGGAGCCTGGCACCTCCACACCTCCTTCAGAAACAAAATTGCATCCTTTCAGGAAAGTGTAAGAAGTTTAATTTTCCTTTACGCAAAGCCAATTATCTAGCAGATTGTCACTTCAATCAGCAAGCAAGTTTAAGATAAACTATGTGTGACAGTGGTACAGTCAAGTCTTCCTCTTTGAGGACATGTCCATTTACCTGGAAGAACATGCATGTACCTGTCTGTGTAGGAAGTGAGTAACATCCTTTGTAAATGTGTGTTGTTGACATGGACATGGCTGCATCTTGGTCTTAGACTCATGGAAAATTGCAAAGCCTTCCCTGGGCTAGGCTCGGGGAAATGGCAAAGCCTTCCTTCCTAGTCCAAGTGTGAATATAACAATATGTACAGAAAATGCCCACCATAGCTTTCTGCCACTTGGATGTCCACAACCTGAAGACTGCTCTCCTATAGAGACTGCACCTACCAAGACAGGTAAAACTGCCTCTTCGTTAGGCTGTTTAATAGTCTAGCCTCCTTGTTTACCGGTATCTCATAGCCCTGCCTCCTTGTTCAGCTTATGCAATAACCTCAATTCACTATCCAACTGTATAAAATAAACACGAGGAAATTCCCGGGTGCTGAAGCTTCTGCAGCACAGAACCTGGTTCACCCAATCTGAGTTTTGCTGTGTGTCTGTCTTTTCTTTATTCATCTGCTGTGTAAAGGTTTATCCCTTCAGGTTTATCTCTGAAGCTGCGAAAGATGTGGCATACCTGGTTATAAGGGCTTGTGCATACAAAAACTTGAGTTTCCCCTTTTTCTGTTCATAGCACATTCCTGGTGGAGAGCATCATATCTGGCTTAAGGTTTGTTCAATAATTAAAAAGAAAGTGTTTCTTTCTCTTCTATCTTTGTTGAGAGGTTTTTCTTTCTTTCTTTTTTTTTTCTGGGTGGGAGAAAGAGGAGGGCACCGAACAAAGATGAAGGTCAATGTCAAAGGCATCATGGGAGCCTCAGAACCTAAGATTTGCCTCTCTGGATGTAATCCAACCACTATCTTATCCTGATACTTGGACTTTAGAAAACATGTGGGCAGGCACGGGGCATGCCTGTGTGTCATGGTCAAATATTATTTGCCTTATTTGGTGCTTAATCTAGGTGAAGTAGACTGCTTTGAACCAGTGACTGTTCTGCCACATTGACCCCGTTGACAAAGGAAGAATTGGGCCAATACTCACTTTCTAAGTGGTGGGGAAGGAGGTGTTCATTATTGGTTCTATAGATACATTCTATCAGCATCTGTCAGAATTCTGAACATTCCATGAGATGACATGAGAGTCAGAGGGCAGAAAGCTGCAGTGCGGAGGAGAAAATATATTTTCTTATCTACTGCACAACACAGTGAGCATAGTTCAAGTAATATTCCACACTTCACAGCAGCTGAGAGTGGCAATGCTTACACATTCTCACCACAAAGAAATAAGGATGTATGGCAATGCATATTCTCAGCATCTTGATTTAAGCATCCTGTAATGTGCACGTATACAACATTGTATTATGCCCAAAAAAATATATACGAATATTGTTTGCCAACTAAAACTAACCAGATGTGGTAAGCCATGCCTATAATTCCAGTACTTTGAAGCAGGAGGAACACTAGTTTGAGGCCTATCTGGACTAAAGAGCAAGACACTCTCAGATACATACGTCGGCACAGAGAGGGAGGGGGAGGGGAGGAAGGGAGAAGGAGAGACAGAATCCTTAATATAAACTTAAAGACTTCAAAGCAAGACAAAGAATGCTGCACTGACTTGAAATGAGTATTTTTATGAGCAGAAGCAGGAACCTTCACACCATTTCATTTGGCAATTGGAGGTATCATCTGCTAGCTAACCAGGTTTAATTCAAAGGGAACAATAAACTTCTTCCATTTCCTAACAGTTCTGCACCTGTAAGGGGGGAAGATGTTTGGAGTTCCCAGTGAGGCTGTGTCTCTGGGACACTTTGGACCATTTTTTAAAAGTGCAAAACCTGACAGGCATGGTAGATCACATCTGTACATAATCGTGGCATTAAGGAGGCTGATACAGGAGGAATGCAGAGAGTTCCAAGACGGGGCTCTGCCACTTACTGCTTTTCAGTTCCTCAAGTGAACTACAAGGGAAAGGAAATCGTTTTACACACATTGGTTTAGGGCAATCTGCATCCGTAACTGTTCTCATTTGGATAGTGGCAGGAAAGCTGGGTAGAGTTAGAAGACTGTGGGAAACAATGAGGAGCGATCTAAAACACAGCAAGTGGTAGACATGTGCCCATAAAGGAAGCCAGAGCACAGCTTGGGGGTCAAGACCTGCTCAGGCCAACACTGAGGGGGTCAGGAAAGTGGATACACATGTGGTCAGGACCCAGTGGGTCTACTTGCTGACCTTCAGACTCAGTCCAGAGCCTAAGAGTAGGTGAACAAAGACAACAATTCACCCTAGAAAACTAAGATTTTCTTGCTTTCCAGTACCATTGTCAGTCAAAGCACCCAGGTTATCTCTATGTTCAGCCCTACTTTCTCTAGAGAACCTGAAGTAGAAGACTAAAGCCAGAACAGCTCTTCCCAATTCCTGACCCCCATCAGTCCCTCTTTTCATCTCCTTAGTACCTACCACCCCAGTTAGCTCCCCACGGTTCCCCTTCTACTTCACTCTGCAAATCCAGGCTTTGGTGCAGTGTGTGAGCAAGTGCTGGTTGGGGAGGATCTTCACGTGCTCTTTGCCCCCCAACTCCAAAGCTCCAGACAAAGATTTATAGAACTAACCACTTAAGGTTGACTTCTGTTTCTTTGAA